TCAGCCTGATAAATGAAAGGTTCGTTCCTGGTAAGTAAGCACAAACAACTTCTCCACCATCGGAGATAGACTGTTTTAAGCTGAATGAACATAATCAATACGAAAACAATTAGGATGTAATCAGCTCTAATACAATAAAAATATAAAATAATGACGCCCTCTTCAAAGTAATCTATAAAATGAAGAACAACTTGCCAAAGGCAATACGTCTCCGTCTTCTTTAAATTTCAGAAGCCCTAGCCATTCAGTTGGAAGAACCAGAACTAGGCACACAGAAGAAAATTATTCAACCACTTCTACTATCATGGTAATAACCGCGTTGATTTGACTTAATTTTTGTTTGTATGCTTGATTTTTCTAACTACTTAAAACTCTTGAGTAATTCCGTAAGTTATTTTGTTTCCATGTGCATCCTGAGCGCAACTCTTTCAACAAACTATTTATGTTATATTTATACGATCTCCTCCATGTCACCCTTGGACATCCCACTCGCTGCTTCCCTTTCGGGTTCCACTCGAGCAATGACCTGACACGCACGCGATGTCACCCAGCAGTCTCCTCAGTGAGTGTCCGATCCATCTCCACTTTCTTTGCTAGTACGAATTGACTACATTTCAAAGATTATTCAAGGCTTGTCTGATTCTAGTCACACACTGTATGCCTAGGAGTCCCTGCAGAATCAAGCCATCCAGCAACTATCAGTGATCAATATCACTACGTTGGCGGAACGTTTAGAACTCCAGCTAACGAAAACTTTAATCAATATACTCCGCCCAGTTTCTTTTACTCAGTTTGTTTAAAGCTGACAAAATATGACTTCTAATAGCACTGTTTACGCTAGCGGGAATTTAAAACATTTACAACCCTGCTCATTCACAAGTTTCTGCTTAGTGTGAGACAAAACATGCATTATCCTCGATAGATGACAGCTTATCCCACTGTTCATGAGATGATCGTTCTTCAGTGCTATCCCTTCTTCAAAAGACGTACTCCTGAATCTTTTATAACTGAGATTCATCATAATTACGTCGTGTATTTCTCAAAGGAGACAAAGAAGAGGTATCCTCATAATGGATTGGTTCGTGCATCAGGTGAGATAGCCCTGTTTCGTCACACTACGCCATCTATTGACAATCAAATCTTTTATTTGAAGATCCTGGAAGACTAAGAGAAAATATCATAAAATAAGCTTCTCTGAAAATTCTGTACATTCTATAAGCACTGTTCAAAATGAAGGTTTAATTGTCAAACAAATCACAGAGGGAAAGAAGCCTATCTTACCTTGTTTTTAAATGTGAAAATGCTACAGCAAAAATCAACGGGGGATTTAATACGTCACTAGCCAGAGCCTATCCTGCAGCTTAGCTGGTCCTAGTCTATCGGATAACACGCTCTTCTTGAATGCAATCAAAAGTCAACAGATATCCCACTCATATGAACTCCAACTGTGTATACAAATTTAAGTGTATCCGCAGGAGAACAGAAGGAAGGGCACACCAAAAAGCCTAGGTCTGAAAGGCACCAATATTTAAAATAGTACTATTACTAGGCGCCTCCTTGATAGGGAACACGAGGTGGAAATCTCAAAATCCTTTAAAATAATCAATAGACTAAAAAGCTCAGTTCTCCTCAGGTTTGATGAAGCACTTGGGACGCAATTTACGCGTTCAGAAAGAAGCGGTGCATTATATAAACATTGTTTAGAATAAAGCTATTATTATTATTATTATTAAAAAGTCATTGTGTTAAAACCACTTATTTGTCAATTACTACGAATTTGACTAGATTACTTTTTTTTATTACAGCTTGATTCCACAATGTATTTTTGGTACAAGTATGGAATTTTCAGCATGTTGGATTATTCGACTCAAAATTGAAGAAGGGTGATCACCGCTGATGATGAACAATTAGGATTCAGAAAAACACAGCGATATGAATCGAATCCTTGGCAAAAAAAATGCCGACAAAACGGTTACTGGTGTGTAATACCATTTACATAGTTGAACAAACTCGTTATAGATACCTAGAAGTTTACATGAATTATGCTTTTAAGTTTTACTCATCAGGTCCCCGGTAATAAGCTATGAGCTATGCTCATTCAATATACAGGAGTTATTGATACTGCACACAATTACTCAGGTTGAAGTAAATGGATCAGGCCAGATTAGAACTTAGCACCGATTGACTGAAAGTCTAATAATACTCAAGTCAATGTGACACAATTTTACGCTGACTACCAACTAATTCAATAGTAGATTCTGCTGAAATCGTAAGCTTAATAGTCAATCTTATGTCTAAAAGTTCATTTCTAGGATTATTCAAAAATATTCCTCGTCAATTATTATAAAAGTTATGACTTAATCGACTTAAAACAGCACATACAATCACTTTCACCTCAAAAATACGTGGTCACTGAATTTCATTATTATTATCATTGTTTCCTTAGGTTCCGAGTGGAACATAGGACTGGCTTCAACAGCACATCTCCACTTTGTTCTATTTTCTGCTGTCCTGTTTAGCTGGTCCTACAATTGCCCATAACCTCTCAAGCATTCCTCGTCATACGATCTGCTCTATGTCACTCTTGAAACGACGCGCAACTCCTCATTTCCTATTCGGGTTCCACTTGGGCGATGTCAGTCGACTGTCTCCTCACCGTGTGCCCAATCAACCTCCTTTTTCTCCTACATATCTTCTGAGTGATAGGTTCTTGGTTAGTGATCACTGTATACCTCCTCAGGTGAATTAAAGTCAGACCTACCAAAAGTTTCATTAATGGTTGCTCAAACAAACCTTCAGTATATTACAGATATCTGAATACATGAGGAACTCAGAAAGATGCTTTCTTCTTCTAAAGAGTAAAACAAAATCACTCTCTTATCACTTACACCTTTGTATGGTTATTTGAAGTAAATAGGTCTAGAACAGATGCTTTGTGTGCCATGCTGAAAAAACTTCTTCACTGCCTGGACTCATCGTGTGCGGCTGATAACTAAGATGAAGCAGGACCCGACCGGACATGGGATCAATAGGCTGAAAGTCAAGTTTCCTAGCCAAAGTATCGTTTTTCTTGTATACTTCTATAACGTAAACTAACCAGAAGAGAATATGACTAACTAGTGAAATGAAATGAAATTACTTTCACATTTCAGAAAGGAGATTTTTGATGACAACTGATCTGTTCTACTGATCCATGGTTGCATTACATCAATGATTGTATATTCATCAAATGCTTCACAACTTTCATCAAGGTTCACTTACTGGCTAAATCATTCTAGACTTGCAGAATAAATTAAAATCAAACAGCGATGGTTTGTGCAGAATAAGATGCTACCACCATTACTTTTTATTGTTCATTGGCTTCTCATCATCTGTGTACAACCTAAACACAAATTAATTACACTTACGTATAGCAAAAGATTCAGATTTTCAACACCAATGTGAAGTCTGTCCCTCTATATGGGTCAGAAACTTACACACTGTGTGTCACGAAATGGATTTCCAACAGACTACTGAAGATTTCTATCAACAGCTGCCTTAGCTGACTCCATAATGAACATGTAGAAAAAAACAGAGTGGGTATACACTGAGATCTTTGAATGACATTGCGCGTAATGCAGGCCATAGCTCAGCTGGAATCCAAATGGGAAGCGATGAGTGGGTCATCGGTGCAAGAGTGACATGGAGGAGATCGTTTGACGATGAGTAAGAGGAGATGAAAGATTATGGGCAATTGTGGAGCCAGATGAAGAGGACATCAGAAAATGGGACAAAGAGAAGATGTGTTGTTGAAGCCAGCCCTACATCCCACTCGAAACCCAAGTGGATAATAATATATACAGAACAATTTTAACATATCTGAAAATGTTACATATACAAAATGTTACGGGATCTCTGGGAGCGAACCAATCAGGAACCGATTGTGAAACAAATAGGCAGGAAGAAATGGAGATGGATTGGCCATACGCTGAGGAAACCATCAAGTGACATCACTAGACAAGCCATTGCTCGAGTGGAACCCGAAAGGGAGGCGGCGAGTTGGTCGTCAGTGCAAGAATGACTTGGAGGAGGTCATGCGAGGAGGAGATGAAAGCATGTGAACAGACCTGGAGCAGGGTGAAAAAGTTGTCAGAAAACCGAAGGCAATGGAGGTACGCAGCTGAAGCCCTATGTTCCTCTAGGAACTAAAGGATACAATAATAATAATAATCGGTTAATGATAGAAGATTTCAAACTTAATAAATAATGCTCAGAAATTACACTTATATGGCTTCACATTTATCTTAAAATTCGCCTCAAGACACGCCATTATTTCGACATAAAATGGTATCGTATTCTCTTTCTCGCCAAATTAAAGTGTATAAAATCGATATTATTGATTTCTGCAGCATTATCATTAAGTAGCAATAATATTAACGACATGCATAAAACAACAAGCACCAATCAATGGGTGACATTTGAAGGAAGACTCACACACACCTATTTCACTTATCTAAGCGGCACCGTTTGAACTACAGGTGACAGGATGGATGAGGCAATCTCCTGCATTCAGAATTGAAAAAAATAATTAATAAAATTTGGATTTCTAACACTAATTTCAAGACAATTTTCCCATATCGTTTAGAGACTTGACCTGTTGTCAAAAGACGTTTATCGACAACTGCATTCATTCCCTGGCTCCATATTGAATATTAGATGATTCGGCCAGAAAGGATTAACAATAAGGATGACTTAAACAACGAAGAACCTTTTAAACAAGGGTAAATATCGTAAACTCGGGTGGAGGACGACGGCCTAATGATAAGATCGTCTGAGATAAGAGCTTATATGCGATTATACAGCCATATGAAGACGACTTCAGAAAACAGGATCCAAATAGCGATGCACTGTTGAAATTCTATGCTCCACTAGGAACCCAAGGGATCAACAATATAATATAATAATACATACATACATACTGCATGTAAGTATATGCAAAATTAACAACAATAATAATTTTAAAACAAATGTATTCCTCATTATATTATCTGTAATAGTCGAAGTGTATTAATATAGATAATCAATAATAGTAGTAATAATAATAGTACTCAAAGAACTGACTGAGAAAACAGAAAAAAAACGCTGAAATGTAAAGCAGAGAATTTATTCTCCATGGAATTTACTCAAAATAAAAATGAGAAGTCATACAAGAATATATACGCGTGTAACAAGCAAGTAGTTTCTCCCTCTCCCTCTCTCGCTCTCTTTGTGTCGCTGTTTAACATGATTGATCTCCCAAACTACTCACATATCGATCAATCAATCAACCAATTAATCAATAAGTAGTATGTGTGGATGTATGTATGCGTGTAATTTATGCGCTAATAGCAAACCAATATTGGGTTTCATCCGTGTACCGTTTTTATGTAAGTCATCATAATTTCAGTGACAGCAACACATTAAAGGTCAATGAGCATAGAAAAATGAGCGTAATAATGAAAAGGACAATATCGATCGATCCAGAGTCAAAATGATACAATCAGCCGTACAGAGCATAAATTCAGCTACATCACACATAAATACGTACATACAAACATACATACATGGAAAAAAAAGTTTGATGACATAATTGTTAAGAAATGAAAACTTGTATATATGTGTGTATGTGTGTGCGTGCACATGAGAAACTAACTGAGAGAACAGCAGTGTGAAACGCGCTGTAGAGTATAGAAAACTGTTCGATTGAGATCATCTTGAGGATGATGATGGTGTTGATGACGATGCAGACGAGTAGGAGAGGCGTTTGCATTCCCCTCCTCCTCCGTATAAATGTATTCACAAAGAGCATGAATAAAATGACCAAAAATGTAAAATCAATAACGCACACACACACACATACAGAAAAGATTTTCAACACGGATGATGAGTACAACTGTGGTGAGATAAGAACAAAGAAGCACACACAAAAAAATAACACAAGATCTATCCTGTCTCTCTCAACGGAATAACATATATCTAACGCATAGTCATATAGATATAGCTATATCACATTAGCATCTAAGGTTGGAGAGATTCAATTTGTCTTTGTAAATTGTCGCCTGTCTTAAAATGTTTAGTTGGAAAAATCGATCAAAATAAAGACTACAATAGTATTAGTAATAATATCAATGACAATCGTAACTATAATAGTGATAATTAAAATAAATTACGGTAGGTGGGGGATGGCCTGGGAGTTAGTTATCCATATGAAAGTTAATGCGGAGAGAAACATCAATGTGAGTCAAATAAGCCAGTGAATTACGTAACGATTATTGATTGAATAATACGTTGGACACCATCAAAAATATGTACATAAAAGATATAAGACAGAATAAAAGAGAGATAATGTACTCACTCATACTATGCTGTATCCTAGTGGCTCTCCCCTCCCCACACTGTAAAATATCCCATTTGATGATAAACATTGTGCTGAAATTTTTATGTAGACATTAGAGGAACATATTGTTCAAAAAATTAAAAATAATGACGAAGACAGAGAGAGACAGACAGATAGATAGAGAGCATGACAGTTAACGTCTCAATTCTGGTACTTTATCCAAACTGCCGAAGATATTCTTTAATTTCGCTTCATAATCATCAATATTCCTTCTGAGTATATCTAAACACGGTCCAAGTAAGCGTTCAAAACTTCCAACATCTAGAACAGCTAGTTTAGTACGACAGTCAGCATATGCAGAAGCAGCACGTGGATGACTTGTCAACAGGGCAAGTTCACCGAAATAACCACCCTTTTCAATGACAGCCACTTCCTTCTCTTCAGTTTCTCCTGTTCTTTTCATTTTAATACGTACTTTACCCTCTTCAACAAAGAACATTTCATCTCCAGGATCACCTTGTTTGATAACTTGTTCACCAGCTTCAAAAATTTTAGTTCTTAAAGCATCAGCAATACTCATTCTTTCATAGGCACTAAGACTTTCTAAAATTGGTACTTGATTAAGGAGTTCCTCATAGAGACGACGTTTTTCAAAGGCTTTTTTTAATACAATAGAACGAAATACTTCACGAGTCATTGCCCAGACAACACCTTCAGTTTTAGCTAATATTGTAGCAGCACGTGGTGTATTATACATCAGCGCCAATTCACCGAATGATCCTTTATTTTCATATTTTCCAACAGTTTTCTCTTCATTACCAACCTTGACAATGATATCATAAACTCCTTTTTCAATGACATAAAAGTTATCCCCATCTTCACCAAGTGTAATAACTTTCTCTCCGGGGGATACATGTCTTTCAAACATAGCATCAATGACATCCTTCATTTGATCATCGTCAAGACATCGAAATAATAAAATATCCTTAGTAGCTTGTGTTAATCGATGACGTTGTTCTTCTGTTTTTGGATGGACAACTTTCACTGTGCTGGCACTATCATCTTTCTCTGGATCATAACTTTCTGCAGCTACACCAGCTCTTCGTGTTGCACGTTGTGGTGGAATAGGCATAGGCTCTGCCTCGTCATCATCCTCCTCATCAGTATCAGCTGAAGATTTGTTAGGACGATTTTCTGCAGCCGCCTTCTTCATTGTTAAGAAATCAATAGCGAATTGAATTAAATCCACTGGACGTTCACGTAGGATAGACACAGTCAATTCTTGTAATAGTTCCCTTAAGCCAGGGGGTACAACCACTTCGTCTTTCGTCATTCTATCACACAATCGCACACACAAAATATAGACTATCAAGCAGGGTAGAATAAGCAAAAACTATTGGTTTTTGAGGTTTAAAATAATTGACCTTTTCGTTAATCAGAGGCTATAAATTTAATTGGCTACTGTTTGCAAGGTTACTCTGTTGGTAAGATAGACACGCACACACACATACACCCACGAATGAAGGCAGCAAATGACTGACTAATAGATTGCCTGTTTGTCTGTCTATCTGACTATCTATACTTCGATTGATATTTATGCAGGGGGTGTGTAATAAATAGATAGATAGACAGGTAGGCTACTTTGAATTTATGTGGTTCTATGTTTGTTTCGGTTTCTGCAGTGCCTGAACGCGCGCGCGTGCGCTAAAATTGAAAAATTAAACAAAACAAAAAGTTAAACAACTCATTTACACCAATTCTAGTGAAGATGAAAATTGAGGAAAATTTCATACAACCTTAGAAAATCAGTGAACATTGACATATAGAGGATAGGAGAAAGAGTTCAGAAGAACATACATTTTTCAATTGGCTGATAATTCTGCTATAACTGCTATATTATTATTATTAATACAGCGTAATTATTAATTCAATCCAGGAAATTAGTCTGTCTTCCTACTTCTCTTTCTCTCTACGCTTCTTATATGTTGGTTTACTCAATGGAAATAAACAGAGATGATACCCTGTAGTGTGACAGACACAAGCGACAGCGATTTATCGCAAAGTGTGATCAGAAATCAACTCAATTCTGATTGGTTTAATTATTATTATTATTATTATTATTATTATTATTATTATTATTATTATTATTATTATTATTATTATTATTATCGCTAAATATGATAATCAGGACAAAATATTTCGTGTTACTTATCAACCATAAAATTTTATTTAGCCTTGAGGAAACTGGTCAGCTAGAATTAATCCCGTTTTTTTTGTCATTTGCACATATAGAAGTTGACAACTCTATTTTAAGAACACCTAATGAGAGTGAAGTTTCTCACAAAGGGAGTGAGTAAAAATCATAAATGTGTGAAATAATTAAAAAAACAAAACAATTACAACACTTCGTGTGAACACAGGCAGTAATTTCGATCGACATATTACCAAAAAAAACTTATCGTTGTGTATACAACACCGAAATATAATTATACTTTGATGATATTAGATGGTTGAAGGCAATCAGCAGAAAGCCTTGCCTGACCTAGGTTTCATGCTAGTCGGCACTCATCAACAAGGTGTATGTGCAACCTTGAAGGAACTCATGTCTCTTCTGAGATTCGAACCCGTGTCACCCAGTGCTACCCTCAGTCAGAGACGTTACCACAGAGGTATTTGACCTCCTGTATGGCTGTAGTGGACACTGGTAATTAGTGTAACATGTCTAGTTCTTTCTTTGGTGCAGCCTGAATTCTATCAGCCCGAATAGCCTAATGGTAAGGTCTCTGACTGCAGCCAGCTTTGGGTGACGTGGGTTCGAATCTCAGACGGGACATGAGTTCCTTGAGTGTTTCAGATACGCCTTGCTGATGAGTGCCAGCTAACACGAAACCTAGGTACAAAGCTTCCTGCCGATTAAGTCCAACCGTCTATTATCATCAAATCAAGTGCACCGTAATGGCGAGCTACCTAGAATGGTGGTCACACTACAAACCTGACTGATAAAATTCAGTCTGCACCAAAGAAAGGACTAGACACATCACACTAGTTACTAGTGTCCCAAATAAGACAAAATGCGAATCGTGGATTCCCCTCCCAGTCACCATCCACGAATTAAATACTAACTAAATGCCCGGACATCGCCGGAGCATCTGCACAAGAAGACGACATGCCAACCTGAGATCGACCACTTAGGTCCAATCAATCGACGGGAAAATCTAAAATTCAATTAAATAATTAATATGAAGAGTTGCACAAGAGGTGCACAAGTGGTCTAGGGGATAACGATTTGGCTGGCGTTTGAAACTATGGGCACTGATTACGAGCTTCAGTTGGAAAATCATCAGTCGTTGACTGGGGAATGCAGGTACACCCAGTTGACGAGTTCCAAATAGGACGGAATGTACCTTGTCCTGGATTCCACTGCAAGTCACCATCCACTAATAAGATTCTGTGAGTAATTAATATAACAAGTTGTATGACAGACAGATCGACTGAGGTCAGTTCATTTTCTGATCTTATCCATCAAATCTTCAGTCAGTTGAACCACTGATTCAAAAATTACCACATTTCATTTGTAAGATTTTTATCATAAACTAACGTCAACCGGAGCGATAATCAAAAACCAGTAGAAAGAAGTGGAAAGCTGTCCTAGTAAGAGACTTCTTAGTGTTGGGCTCACACCACCTCTCCAGGGATAGAGCCTGGGACTTTAAGGCTCATCAAGGACAAGCTTGACAAGCATTCAGCCGCTTGGATCGATGGTATTCAGTGACTCATGAATTCTAACGTTTTCAATCGTCAGCTCACTGACAGCTACTAGAGATTGGATCTCCTCAAGCTATAGCGCGAAGTCATAACCAGAGGTGTCTACGATGTCAAAGGTGTTACCTCAGAATAGCGAAGTTGGAATTTTCAAGAGCTAATTTCTAGGGATTTGATCTATTTCAATTTTGATCAGGGATTTTTTCAGTTAGAGAACCGTTAGAAACCAGCACGGGTTATTGAACAGTTGTTTCCACCTGGTTTAGGGCTCATCAGCGGTACAAACCCACCTGCTTTCGAACACAACCCCACTCACTTGCAAGGAGAGCACGTCGATCATTCAGCCACTGGGGTTCAACTTAATGTCCTACGCATTCCAACTCCCAACGATCCCTGGTCTCAGTGCAGCTGGCACCAGCCAATTTCATCGTAGTGAGTGTAAGTCCCCACTTTCAACTGAGTGGACACCTAGGCAAATTCGTCATAAAGCCAGTCCCTTACGAGTATCAGATTAATTTTTAGGGACATGACAGCTCTTCACTACTCCATGCTGGTTTCAAAAGTTCCTCCAAGTGATGTCATTCTGTGATCAAATTTGAAAGTCAGAATTCAAATATCATTAAGTCCCACTGGTCAAGTGGCTAAATGACCAGACACCTTAGTCTCGTAACCTTAAGGTCCTGGCTCCAAACACTGGTGGAATCCTGGGTGCAAATTTCTGAAGAGTCCCTGAAAGCAGGACGACAAAAACAACTGGCCGGTGTTTCCTAGTAGTTTTCAGTAACCTCTCCAAATGATGCTGGTTTATGACAAAAATCTAACAATTGAGATTAATTGAAATTCTCCACAAATCGTATAATGTGAATAACAATATCACCTAATCTAGATTATGCACTTAACGCGGAGAAAAGTGTCCCCTCCTGACAAACGTTTCGATGTTAAGGTAGACATGTTGTTCAGAGTAATTTCAGCTATTTGAAATAAAATTTATTTTATTTTATTAAAGCTTGACTCCACACAGCATTTTTGACACAAGTATGGAATTTTCAGCATATGTATTGGTAGCCCAAATTTAGCACCCTGACCATTGATAAAAGGTGTACGTCGGCAGGGGGTCGAACCCCGGACCATGTGCATGGTCAGCGAGCGTCCTATCCGACTGCTTCTAAATTCTTCTGACCTCAGTAAAATTGGATCCCCACTTGTTGAAAAGGCGTTTTCGATTTTTAAGGGCTAATAATACTATTCAGTTTCTCCAGCTGAAGTAGACACGGGGAATTGGAAACCAGGACTTATTGAGTAAACGTTGAGTGCTTTAATCAATGATTCATATCTTCTTACGCAAACTAAATGTTTACATAGGTTACATTAGACATATACCAATTCAGTATTGAGTTATTTTCAGTAAATACGGTCATTAAAACTACGAAAGGGTTGAAACTTGTAAGTATTATGCATAATTTAGTATATACTCCCTATCGAGTTTTCAAGGTGATCAGGAATTAATTACAGGTTCGATGATGAGCTGATTTTAGTCAGAGAACCACAGAAAAACTATGGAGTACTAGGCGGGCGTTTCGACCCAGTTTGTGACTTTTCAAAAGTACATACTCATGACCAGACTTGAGATCGAATCTGAGGCCTTCAGCTTAAGAGGTGAGATCGTGAACCAGTCAACCATTCAGACTCTATCCAATAGCTCATTAATTCCCACTTCTGCTAATTTGAGATATACACACAGCAACCACAAAGCAATTTTATAGGCAATTAACTGTTCTCCCTCCTGAATTGGTACACCCCACTGCTTACAACTTTTGACTATAACTCCAGGATAACTTCCTTTATAAAGCTAATCCCTAATGAGCATCAGATTAGTCCCGGGTTCAAACTCCGGTGAGTGCATCTTTCTGAAAAGTCCCTAACCAGGTCTTATCATCAGTACATTACTCTCCTCAGCTGGTTTCCATTGATGTGCGTCGGTGGCACAGTGGTTAGGACTCTCGTCGACCATGCACATGGTCCGAGGTTCGAGCCCACACCGGCGCACACCAGATATCTATGGTCGGCCTGCGAAATTTGGGCTACCGATATCCATGCTGAAAATTCCATACTTGTACCAAAAATACAGTGTGGAATCAAGCTGTTACCAAAAATTAAAAAAAATAAAATAAAATAATGATCAAATATGTAACGAATTAAATCCCTACTGTGAATTACTTAACCGAAATCGCCTATATTACTTAGTATCAAATAAATCAATGCGCACTACTTAGTCAAAGGTAACGAGCAATCCAAGAATCCAGAAGCTAAACTTAGTCCTACTTAAGACTCCTTAGTTGAATGTTCCTGAATTCAAACTGATTAATAATGTTCCACAACCAGGAGTCGAATCCATCACTCACTGACCAAACGAAAACTTGTGGAATAATAAGAATAAGATGAGTGTATGTCTGTATGAGTGTGCATAAGTCCGTACACGTAAATGTATGTTTGCAACACTCTTCATTTCCTTTTTTTACCCAAAGAAAAACATATTCAAATTTCAGCAGAATTTGACAAGATTAGTTAAATT